TCTATTTTTAATTTCCTAAGGAATCTCCATACTCTTTTCCAGCTGGGACCAAAAAATTGCAGCTGCAGCAACTTGCATTCCCACCAGTAGTGTAAGAGTGTCTTCTGCCTTTTTTTTTTTTTTTTTTTTTTTTGAGAAGATTATCTGTTTTTTGAGTGTTGAGTTTGCGGAGTTCTATATAGATCTTGGATATCAGCTCTTTGTCTGTAGTGTTATTTGTGAATATCTTCTCCCATTGTGTGGGTTGCCTCTTTGTTTTGTTGACTGTTTGCTGTGCAGAAACTTTTGATCTTGATGAAGTCCAGAAAGCTCATTTTCACTTTTTTTTCCTTTGCCTTTGGAGACACACGTTGAAAGAAGTTTCTGTGGCTGATGTCAAAGAGGTTAATGTTCTCCTCTGGGATTTTGATAGATTCTTGCCTCATGTTGAGGTCTTTTATCCCTTTCAAGTTTATCTTTCTGTATGGTGTAAAGGAGTGGTCGAGTTTCATTTTTCTACACAAAGCTGCCCAATTTTTCCAGGACCATTTATTGAAGAGACTCTCTTTTTTCCACTGGGTATTTTGTCCTGCTTTGTCAAAGATTGGTTGACCATAGAGTTGAGGGTCCATAGCTGGGCACTCTACTCTGTTCTACTGGTCTGTGTGTCTGTTTTTGTGCCAGTACCATGCTGTCTGTTGATCACAGCTTTGTAGTAAACCTTGAAATCAGGCAACATAATGCCCCCAGTTTTGTTTTTTTTCTTTTTCAACATTTCCTTAGCTATTTGGGGTCTTTTCTGGTTCTGTACAATTTTAGGATTTTTTGTCCCAGCACTTTGAAAAATCCCGGTGGAATTTTGATGGAGATGGCATTGAAAGTACAGATTGCTCTGGGTAGTATAGACATTTTATCAAGGGAATAACACCTTTCTTAAAAACGTGATGATGCATATGTACATGGAGAAAACCAATAAAAACACAGTTAAAAACATTCAATAACAGATTTAATCAATAGTTAGCTGTGACTGCAAATCATAAAGTTGTACTCAGTTGTAACATTGATAACACAATTACAGTATCTTATTTTTCAGTGAAAAACATAATTTATTTCTCATTTTCTGTATATACTTACTTAGCATGTTACTTTATATTTCTAATTTCATTATTTTAATAGAGGGTGGTCTACAAATTGTGGAAGATTTGGATTCCACAAAAGCTGGATCCATTCCTGTCAATGGACCAAAGTCTAAACTCCTCAGGAAAACAATTATCCCCTATCTTCTAATGTTTATTAGAAGATAGGGGATAATTGGAAAACAGGGAATTCAGGGTAATGGAAAAGACTAAAGATACTGATAAGAAGTAGAGGGCTTAATGTTGGAGGAATGTAGATATCTAAGTTTGAAGCCAAAAGAAAAGAAAATTGGTGGGAAATAAGTGGAGAAAATAAAAATATGATAAGCCTGCTATTGAAACCATTGAGTTAAGACTATATTCTAACATCTGCTGTTGAATGTTGGCTGTCGGCTTGTCATTTGTGGCCTTCATTATTTCAAGGCCTTCATTGTCTCACTTTGTTGAGAGTTTTTGTCATGAATTCACATTAACTATTTCCAAGTCCTTTTCCTGCAACTGCTGAGATCATTTGAGATGATTTGCATTTTTCATTCTGTTAATGTGATATCTCACATTGATTGATTTGCATTTCTTGACTCATCTTTGTATCGCAGGGATGCATCCCATTTCAGCATGGTAGGAAATTTTTTGAAGGGTCTGTTAAATTCAATTACCTAGTATTTAGCTGAGAATTTATGCACATATATTCAAGGGCTATTGGTGTTTTCTTGTGATGTCCTTATCTGAATTGGTATTATAAGTTTAGTAATGCTAGCCTACTAAAGTGAGGTGTGTAGTGTTTCCTCATCTTCAGTTCTTTCAAAGGGTTTGAGAAGAGTTGGTATCCTTCTATAAATAGTTTCCCCCAGTTGAAGTTACTATGTTCTGGGTTTTTCTTTGTGGAAAGGTTTTTGATTATCTCTTCAGTCTCCTTGCTCCTAATTGCTATGTTCAGGTTTGTTTGTTTGTTTTTAATTTCTTTATGTTTCTATGATGGTAAGTTGTATATTTTTAGAAATTCAGTTATTTCTTCAAGGTCATCTAACGTTTTGGTGTAGAATTGTTTATAGTAGTCTCTTCTGATTTTTTGAATTTCTGTAGTTTCTATTATAGTCTTGTCTTTCATTTTAATTTTATTTGTGTCCTTTTTCTTGATTAGTCTGTGTAAAGGTCTGTCAAACCTATTTTTCAAAGGGCCAACTTTTAGTTTTCTTACTGTAATTTTGTTTCCTATTATTTTTCATGTGTTTCTGCTCTGATGTAAGTTACTTCCTCCTGCTAACTTGGGCTTAGTTTGTTTTTGTTTCTCTAGTTCCTTCTGGTGTAAAATTAGGTTAACTTGAGAAAATACTTCTTTCTTAATGTAAACATTTATTGCCATTAAAATGTTCCCTCTAACTGCTTCTTTTGCTATACCCCATCAGTTTTGCTATGTTTATTTCCACTGTCATTTGTTTCAAGTAATTAAGAATATTTTAAAAATCTTCTTTGATTCATTAGTTATTCAGGTTTGTGTCATGTAATTTCCATGTATTTGTGAATTTCCCTTCTGTTCCTGATTTCTAATTTCATACAATTGTGGTCAGAAAAGAGACTTGATACAATTTCTGTCATACTGTATTTTTAAGTTATTTATATGGCATATGCGATCTGTCCTACAAAAGGGTTTTTGTGTGCTTCAGTCTATAGTATTTTTCAGATCTATTCCCTAACTGATTTTGTATATGGACAAACAGTCTTTTTTTGAGAATGGTGCATGAAAATCCTTAACTATTATCTTGTCACTGCTTAATTTTCTCCTTTTAGTTGTTTGTTTGCTTTACATTGTTAGGTGCTTCTAACTAAATGTTGGCTGCATCTGTATTTAAAATTGCCTAACTGAGCCACCCCAGCGACCCCTTAAATTAGAACTTTAAATTATGCACCATCATTAAAATATTAGATTTCCTATTATAGGTGCATTTCATAAATTCATATCTTTTTATGATGTTAATTAGCATGGTTTTATTTCAGATTCAACATTGCCCTGTAGCATTTCACGTAAGGCAGGTCTAGTGGTGATGAACTCCATCTGCTTTTGTTTGGGAAGATCTATGCCATCTTTATTTATAAGGAATAATCTTCCTAGAAGTAGCATTCTTGGTTGACAGTTTATTTCCTTGTTATTATCATTTGGCAGGTAGGCAAGTTCACTTGAATCCTTGATTCCTTGAGTTGTTATCTACACATTTGAATAGGAAATTCCTTCTTTTCAACTTTACAGGTTGGTTTTGTCAGGGAAAGACCTCTCCCAGGCAGCTCAGCTAAGGCAACTGAACAGGTCAGCTGTTGGCACTGTTGGGGCAGTGGGGTTTCTCATTGAGATGTTAGTTGGGCACTGAACATGCTCTGAGAGATTGATGGGAATGTATATTGGTATAACACTGGAAAACATTATGAGATCATACAGTACTTGACTTTCTGTTACTTTTTTCACTTAACCCTCATGCTCTCCAGGTCCATCATCATCATCAGAAATGTAGGATTTTCTTCCTTTTTTTTTTTTTTTTTTGATAATCAGTATTCCATTGCGTCTATGTCTGTGTAACTAATATATGCAAACACTGTATTTATATTTCTATATAACTATCTTATTTGTGTATCAATTTAATCTGTCACATTTTCTTTATCCATTATTCTCTTCATAGACACGGTTTGTTTCTGCTTCATGGCTGCTGTAAATAGTGCTGCAAAGAACATGGAAGGGGGGGTGCACATATTTCTTTGACACAGCAATTTACTTTATTTCAAATAGAAACCCAGAACTGGAACTGCTGTATTATATGATAGTTCTGTCTTTAATTTTATGAGAAACTTCCATTTTGGTTTTGTTTTCAGTTTCCCTAATGACTAATGATATTGAACACCTTTTCATGTTGTTTTCGGCCATTTGTGTGTCTTCTTTGGAAAAAGAAATGATTACTGAGGTCCTTTTTTTCTTTTTTTTAAGATTTTATTTATTTATTTGAGAGAGAACAAGCAAAGGGGAGTGGCAGACAGAAGGGGAGAAGCAGGGAACCTGATGCAAGGCTAGATCCCAGGACCCTGGCATTATGACCTGAGCTGAATGCAGACACTTGATTGACTTGATCAACCCAGGCTTCCCCTTTACCTATTTTTAACTAGCTTTTATTTTGGCTGTTTGTTTGTTTGTTTGTTTGTTTCCTGTTGAGTATGTGTACTCAGACATCGGGAGTTATTTCTTATCAGATAGGTGGTTTGCAAATATTTACTTCCATCCTGTTGGATGCATTTCATTTTGTTGAAATGAACTATGAATAAATTTCTTGTATTTTCTTTCCTGTGTATAAAACTTCTATAATGCAGTCCCATTTGCTTATTTATTTTTTGGTATCGTAGCCAAAAAGTTGTTGTCAGGACCAGTGTCAAAGGGTTTTTTCCCTTATGTTTAAAGCTTCAAGTCTCATGTTTGAGTATGTAATTGATTTCAATTTAATGTTTTGAATGGTCTAAAATAGGAGTACAATTTTGTAATCTTCATAATTACTATCAGGGCATTGTAACTGAAAGACAAAATTGGGAAATTAATTAGCCAGGGTTATGTTAATGTGAATACTTGTTGATGAATAGAAAATTAGACAAATATTTTTCTGTTTTTTTTGATATCCAATGTGTTGTGACTCTTAAGGTGGAAAGTGTGTTTTATTTGTGGGAAATAGTGAATTTTATTATTTTCTAGTAATATTCACCTACTTTTAGCTCTATTTTGATTTCCACAGGACTTATCTTTCAAATTATATTACTGTTTTAAATATGGCAAATAGAGTATTTTATGCAGCTAAAATCCTGAGTCATTAATACAGTGCTTTTTTCTATAAGTTAATATAATATTGCTTCTAACAGGGCAAAAAAGAACTTCAGGTGACCCTTTTCCAAGCATTGGTGCTGTTGATGTTTAACGAAGGAGATCAGTTCAGCTTAGAAGAAATTAAGGTGGCTACTGGACTAGGTAAGTATTGGTTGTAATTGTTTAAATCTGTGATTTAAAAAAGTTCTAAACATTTTTTTCTCCTTCAGAGGATAGAGAACTAAGAAGAACTCTACAGTCATTAGCTTGTGGCAGAGCTAGAGTTCTCATCAAAAATCCTAAAGGCAAAGATGTGGAAGATGGTGACAAATTCTTTTGTAATGAGGATTTCAAACACAAACTCTTCAAGATAAAAATCAATCAAATCCAGATGAAAGAAACGGTATTTTTTCCCTCTTTATCTTAATGTTTCTATTTAATTTTGTTACTATAAGTCTTTTTACTTTTGGATCAGCAATAATTGGAACAGTGATTTTTTTTTTTTACTGTGATAAAAAACACATTAAGTTTGGCATCATGACCATTTTGAAGTTGATAGTTGGGGAGTGTTAAGTGTATCTACACTGTGGTGCAGTGGATGTCCAGAACTTTTTCATTTTAAAAAACAAACAAACAAAAAAACCATCTTTCACAATATGTCTCTATTCTTCTTACCCCCAGACCTGGTAAACAGCAGTTTTACCTTTTTTTTCTATGAATATGACTAATTTTTGGTAGCTTTTATAAGTAGAACCTATACAGTATTTTTTCTTTTAGTGACTGGCCTAATTCACTTAGTATAATGGCCTAACATTTCATACATGGGATACAATGTAATGGGATTTCTTTCCATTACAGCAAATAAATGTAATGACTAGGTCATATTTGTTTATCCTTTCATCCATATTTGGTCATTTGGCTATGAAAACTGATGCTATAAATATGGGTGTACAAGGGTGTTCAAGTATCTCTTTAAGACTCTTCCTTCAATTATTTGGACATATGCTGAGGTGTGCTAAATCATACAATTTTTATTTTAATTTATTTTGAGGTACCACTATGCTATTTTCCATAGGAGTTGCACCATTTTATAGAGCACCATCATTGCAAAAGTGTTCTGGTTTCATTTTTATTTTATTTTATTTTATTTTTTTTTATTTTGTTTTTTTTTTTTTTGTTTTTTT